GGCAGGAGGCCGAATTGGATAAGGTTTGGGTGGGTGCGGCCCCCCTTTCCTTCTCTCCTACTCCTCCTTCCCTTCCTCTCCTACTCCAACTAGGGAAGGGAAGAATCCTACTCCCAGTGGGAGTAGGACTCCTCCAGGGCGCGCCATAGGGGCCGGCCCTCTCCCCCTCCTCCACTCCTTTATATACGGGGGTGGGGGGCACCCCATAGACACAAGTTGATCTTCGTGATCGTTCCTTAGCCGTGTGCGGTGCCCCCTTCCACCATATTCCACCTCGGTCATATCGTAGCGGAGCTTAGGCGAAGCCCTGCGTCAGTAGAACATCATCACCGTCATCACGCCATCATGCTGACGAAACTCTCCCTCAACACTTTGCTGGATCGGAGCTCGAGGGATGTCACCGAGTTGAACGTGTGCAGAACTTGGAGGTGCCGTACATTCGGTACTTGGATCGGTCGGATCGGGAAGACGTACGACTACTTCCTCTACGTTGTGTCAACGCTTCCGTTGCCGGTCTACGAGGGTACGTAGACAACACTCTCCTCTCTCGTTGCTATGCATTACCATGATCTTGCGTGTGCGTAGGAAATTTTTGAAATTACTACGTTCCCCAAGAAATATGACCTAAACGGCAGTGCCACATATAAGTTGCACTATCATTATTAACTTTACGTCTTTTGGCTTCAATGTTATGAATATGTTTATCACTACGATCGAGATTCAATAAACCATTTATATTGAGTGTATGACCATAGAAGGTTTTATTCATGTAAATAGAACAACAATTATTCTTTGACTTAAATGAATAACCTTATTGCAATAAACATGATCCAATCATATTTATGCTCAACACAAACACCCAATAACATTTATTTTAGGTTGAACACTAATCCCAAAGGTAAAGAGAGTGTGCGATGGGATCTTATTAACCTTGGAATCACTTCCAACACACATCGTCACCTTGCCCTCAACTAGTTTCTGTTCATTTTGTAACTCCTGTTTCAAGTTACTAATCACAGCAACTGAATCAGTATCATATACCCAGGGGCTAATATGAACACTAGTAAAATACACATCAATAATCTTTATATCAAATATAACTTTGTTCACTTTGCCATCCTTCTTATCCGCCAAGTATTTGGGGTAGTTCCGCTTCCAGTGACCATTCCCTTTGCAGTAGAAGCACTCAATTTCTGGCTTAGGTCTAGCTTTGGGTTTCTTCACGGGAGTGGCAACTTGCTTTCCATTCTTTGAAGTTCCCTTTCTTTTCCTTTGCCCCTTTTTCTTAAAACTAGTGATCTTATTAACCATCAACACTTGATGCTCTTTGTTGAATTCTACCTTCGTCGATTTCAGCATCACGAAGAGCTTGGGAATCGTTTTTGTCATCCCTTGCATATTATAGTTCATCACGAAGTTCCAGTAACTTGGTGATAGTGACTAGAGAACTCTGTCAATCACTATCTTATCTGGAAGATTAACTCCCACTTGATTCAAGCGATTGTAGTACTCAGACATTCCGAGCACATGCTCATTGATTGAGCTATTCTCCTCCATCTTGTAGGCAAAGTACTTGTCAGAGGTCTCATACCTCTCGACTCGGGCATGAGTCCGAAATACCAATTTCAGCTCTTGGAACATCTTATATGCTCCGTGGCGTTCAAAACGGTTTTTGAAGTCCCGGTTCTAAGCCGTAAAGCATGGCGCACTAAACTATCAAGTAGTCATCATACCGAGCTTGCCAAACGTTCATAACGTCTGCATCTGCTCCTGCAATAGGTCCATTACCTAGCGGTGCATCAAGGACATAATTCTTCTTTGCAGCAATGATGATAATCCTCAGATCATGGACTCAGTCCGCATCATTGCTACTATCATATTTCAACATAGTTTTCTCTAGGAACATATCATAAATAAAATGGGGAAGCTATACGCGAGCAATTGATCTACAACATAGATATGCAAATACTATCAGGACTAAGTTCATGATAAATTTAAGTTCAATTAATCATATTACTTAAGAACTCCCACTTAGATAGACATCCCTCTAGTCATCTAAATGATCACGTGATCCATATCAACTAAACCATGTCCGATCGTCATGTGAGATGGAGTAGCTTTCAATGGTGAACATCACAATGTTGATCATATCTACTATATGATTCACGTTCGAACTTTCGGTCTCAGTGTTCCGAGGCCATATCTGCATATCCTAGGCTCGTCAAGTTTAACTCGAGTATTCCGCGTGTGCAAAACTGGCTTGCACCCGTTGTGTATGAACGTAGAGCTTATCACACCCGATCATCATGTGGTGTCTCGGCACGACGAACTGTCGCAACGATGCATACTCAGGGAGAACACTTATACCTTGAAATTTTAGTAAGGGATCATCTCATAATGCTACCGTCGCACTAAGCAAAATAAGATGCATAAAGGATAAACATCACATGCAATCAATATAAGTGATATCATATGGCCATCATCATCTTGTGTCTTTGATCTTCATCTCCAAAGCACCGTCATGATCACCATCGTCACCGGCTTGACACCTTGATCTCCATCGAAGCATCATTGTCGTCTCGCCAACTATTGCTTCTACGACTATCGCTACCGCTTAGTGATAAAGTAAAGCAATTACATGGCGATTGCATTTCATACAATAAAACGACAACCATATGGCTCCTGCTAGTTGCCGACAACTCTATTACAAAGCATGATCATCTCATACAATAAAATTTAGCATCATGTCTTGACCATATCACATCACAACATGCCCTGCAAAAACAAGTTAGACGTCCTCTACTTTGTTGTTGCAAGTTTTACGTGGCATCTACGGGCTGAGCAAGAACCGTTCTTACCTACGCATCAAAAAACACAACGCGGTATAGTGATTGCTTTTTGATCTTCAGAAAGAACCATGTTCATTGAATCCGATTCAACTAAAGTTGGAGAAACTAACACCCACTAGCCACCTGTGTGCGAAGCACGTTGGTAGAACCAGTCTCGCGTAAACGTATATGCGTAATGTCGGTCTGAGCCGCTTCATTCAACAATGCCGCTGAATCAAGAATCAACTAGTGACGATAAGCAATATGTATATACTCACGCCCACAACTCCTTTGTGTTCTACTCGTGCATATAACATCTACGCATAGATCTGCCTCGGATGCCACTTTGGGGAACGCAGTAATTTCAAAATTTTCCTACGCACACGCAAGATCCATCTAGGTGATGCGTAGCAACGAGAGGGGAGAGTGTTGTCCATGTACCCTCATAGACCGTAAGCGGAAGCGTTATGACAACACGGTTGATGTAGTCGTACGTCTTCATGATCCGACCGATCCTAGCACCAAAGGTACGGCATCTCCGTGATCTGCACACGTTCAGCTCGATGACGTCCCACGAACTCTAGATCCAGCTGAGTGTCGAGGGAGAGCTTCGTCAGCACGGCGGCGTGATGACGGTGATGATGAAGTTACCGACGCAGGGCTTCGCCTTAGCACTACAACGATATGACCGAGGTGGAAATCTGTGGAGGGGGCACCACACACGGCTAAGAGATCAACTTGTGTGTCTCTTGGTGCCCCCTCCCTCGTATATAAAGGAGTGGAGGAGGGGGAGGACCGGCCCTCTATGGCGCGCCCAAGGGGGGAGTCCTACTTCCGGTGGGAGTAGGACTCCCCCTTTCCCTTGTTGGAGTAGGAGAGAAGGAAAGGGGCCGACCCCCCACCCAATTCGGATTGGGCTAGGGGGGCGCGCCCTCCACCTTGGTCTTCCTCTCCTCTTTTCCACTAAGGCCCAATAAGGCCCATATACTCCCCGGGGGGTCCCGGTAACCCCCCGGTACTCCGGTAAATGTCCGAACTCACCCGTAACCATTCTGATGTCCAAACATAGCCTTCTAATACATCGATCTTTATGTCTCGACCATTCCGAGACTCCTCGTCATGTCCGTGATCATATCCGGGACTCCGAACTACCTTCGGTACATCAAAACACATAAACTCATAATACCAATCGTCACTGAATGTTAAGCGTGCGGACCCTACGGGTTCAAGAACTATGTAGACATGACAGAGACTCATCTCCGATCAATAACCCATAGCGGAATCTGGATGCTCATATTGGTTCCTACATATTCTACGAAGATCTTTATCAGTCAAACCGCATAACAACATACGTTGTTCCCTTTGTCATCGGTATGTTACTTGCCCGAGATTCGATCGTCGATATCCCAATACCTAGTTCAATCTCGTTACCGGCAAGTCTCTTTACTCATTCTGTAATGCAACATCCCGTAACTAAATCATTAGTCACATTGCTTGCAAGGCTTATAGTGATGTGCATTACCGAGAGGGCCCAGAGATACCTCTCCGATACATAGATCGACAAATCCTAATCTCGATCTATGTCAACTCAACAAACACCATCGGAGACACCTGTAGAGCATCTTTATGGTCACCCAGTTACGTTGTGACGTTTGATAGCACACTAAGTGTTCCTCCGGTATTCAGGAGTTGCATAATCTCATAGTCATAGGAACATGTATAAGTTATGGAGAAAGCAATAGTAGTAAACTAAACGATCAAAGTGCTAAGCTAACGGATGGGTCAAGTCAACACATCATTCTCTAATGATGTGATCCCGTTCATCAAATGAAAACTCTTTGTCCATGGCTAGGAAACTTAACCATCTTTGATTAACGAGCTAGTCAAGTAGAGGCATACTAGTGACACTCCGTTTGTCTATGTATTCACACATGTACTAAGTTTCCGGTTAATACAGTTCTAACATGAATAATAAATATTTATCATGATATAAGGAAATATAAATAACAACTTTATTATTGCCTCTAGGGCATATTTCCTTCAAATTTAACTATTGTTCTTTTGGTATGTCAATTTACTAATTGGTGGGTTGACACTACTACTAATATTCATGTGTGTGTTGACAAATCCTTGTTTATTTCTTAACAAACACACCAGGATTCCACCGTCGTAATGGAGAATGGGTCACCTGCTTCTGTTATTGGTACGGCCAATCAGAAGTTTATTTTAGGACAGGTCACACAGATAAAGAATGTGCAACATTTCCCTACTATCAAGAAGGTTCTCGTTGGTGGATCATGTCTTCTGAAAGATTGGTTCAAGTTGGTGTTTGAGTCCAGTTAAGTTGTTATGTCTAAGTATGGATCTTTTGTTGGAAAGGGTTACGAGTGTGGAGGCTTGTTTCATCTCTCTTTGGAGGACTTCTGTAATAGAGTAGTGAACCATGTATGCACTAGTTCTGATGAGACTAATATTTGGAATTCACATCTTTGTCACATTAATTTTGGTTTTCTGACGTGGTTATCCAGTATCAGTTTAATTTTGAAACCACCTTTTTTTGCAGGTTAATTATGAAACCACCTTACTCAAAGGCTTTGAGTGCCAAGCTTGTGTTCAAGCTAATCAGCCTGGCAAAGCCTCACAAGGCCTTCGAGGAAAGACAATTGGCACCATTAAATCTAATACAATCATATGTGTGCTAGATGTGTGGTATGTTGACAAAAGGTGGAAAGAAATATTTCATGACTTCTATTGAGGATTCCACTAGATACTGTTAGGTGTATCTTCTGAAAACTAAAGATGAGGCTTAATATGTCTTCAAACGTATTTATATTTTTTGATTATTTGATGTTATTATATTATCACTTTTGGCAACTTTTTATAGCAGTTTGTATTATTTTTCCGAACTAACATATTATTCGATGCCCAGAGAAGTTGTTGTTTTCTGCATATTTTTGGTTTATAGAAAATCCATATTTACAAAGCTCAAAATACCGTGAGCATTTTGACGATTTTTTTCAGAACGAGAAGAATGCAAAAAAGCACAGGAAGAGGCTAGGATGCCACCCAAGCCCAAAGATGGCCAGGGGTTGGCCGTATGGAGAACAATAACTCTTACACAAAAGAGCAAAAACTAATTGAAGTTTAGAAGAAAAAAGCGACAGAAGACAAGGGTTGTTCTAACCATTTGGAGCTTTATGACGGTTGTCAGATCTAGAGTGTGTAGTGGTGTAATTTACGAAGAAGCGAAAATCATTATGGTGGCTCCTATTTAGCTTAGTATTCCTGGTTCATTAATTACTACATAAACTTATATGACAAAACTGAGTGAAGGAAGATGCACATGTTACTTTTGTCTGGTTTATTTCCCGGGGTTTCCCGTCCGATTCAAAATGCTCAACACTGCATCCTCA